GTGACATCACAAGAATCATATTTTCATCGCACAAATGTCACGAATGGTATATATAAATATATATATTTATATATATTTATATTTATGCTAGAGCTCACAAGTTTACTGTATAAGTAGTTCGATTATTACAATTGGCCTCATAGAACTTCCCTCAACCTGGGGCTCTTTAGATGTAGGCTTTTCCTACCGTTCTCATAATTCCTAGTTTGCCAACGTTTGTCCATGCTGCCTTAGAATTCTGCAAAATGCAACCGCACAGATTCAGAAGACACCGTCTTGGAGAAGAACTTAAATTTCTCTTTGATCTGCAGTTTCAGCCTAGGGATAAGCTAAACTAGATAGCAATACAGCAGTGGAAAACCTTCCTATCCTAGAAGTGATCAATTATACCTTTTAAAGTTTATACCACAACAATATTTCTGAATTTCCTTTCTTCCTTGTTCTGCTAAAAGCCACGGTGACCCTCATCCTGGATTTTACCTGTACAAGTGCTCAGTTCCCAATTTGCTCCTTGAAACACAGAATTATAATAAAGCAAATGTTACAGATCCTTCACAGATATAAACGGCATGTTTTCTTATAACTTTTCCAGATGGAGCGCAAAGGGTTTTTTGGCTACTACCTGCAGCCACACAAATTGTTAGATGCAGCTTCTGGAGCCTCTTAAAATAGTGGCCAAATTATAATTTTTGGTACAACAGCACAGGACAATTATTAGATGCACAGGAGTAATTCTATTAGCTGTACTTAGTTAATTTAACTTACATGAAATGACATAGAAGAGAAATCAAATGTAAGTATTGCTCTGGTCCTGTCGACCTCACTGTCCTGCTAGCGAAAGATGCACCTCTCAGAGATTCCATACACACCGCTTGGCCCCAACAATTTCTACCAAAGAACTGACCCTCCAGGAGAAAATGACGTGATTCGTATGCTTGGTCATTCCTTTTGTATGTGAAAGGTTCTTGATGCTGAGCTTGCTGTCTTGTTTGATTTTCCCAGATCAGTCTTTGCGTTGATCTGAGATCAGAACTGTCTGGCTTTTTCTAGTTAATACAATAGCAGAGTTGGAAGGGACCTTGGAGGTCTTCTAGTCCAACCCCCTGCCTAGGCAGGAAACCCTATACCGCTTCAGACAAATGGCTAT